AACGTCATTTTCAGTCAATTACAGAGTTCGTTGAAATGGCACTGGGTGGCAACCCCCTCCCCCCCCCCTACTTTTTTATGCCCCTAGTTCAATATGATTTTAGTGAACACTTAAAAATCAACCTAATTTCTCATAATGCATTCACGTCTATTCTTACTTGATGATTCCAGAACAAACCCATTGACACCATTTGGATTTTCAGTATTCTTTCATAAACATTTTAAAGACCTTTTACTTACAGTTAACGGTATTTACAACAACCAAAAAAAAAAAAAAAATAATAAAAAAAATAAATAAAAATAAATATGAGTAAAGAAAAGCAACCCATTATTATTTCATCGTAATATACAGTATATCAAAGCAAGATTACTTCCCATTTTCAGCAAAGCTGTTAATTACGAGCTGTTATTTAATTGTTGACTAAACATTACTGAAATACATTCTGACCATTGTATTTATTTTTCGCGGCTTTAGATGTAATAAAAAATATGTGCTAAACTTCACAATGTTTTTGCACACTTTTCACAAGCTTTACCTTTGTCCAAAGTCATGAAGTTAACAATCCTTTCTAAAATTTGTAGATGCCATTATTAATGCCATTAAATGTTCCATAGGATAATAAGAGTTTTTTTTTTTTTTATTTCAACATTTTTATTTATAATATCATCATCTTTAATATTTGCTCAACATCTATAATCCATATGTAGTAGTAATTCAATGCCAAGAAAACCCTGCTTATTCAACTTATTAAAGCAGCTTCTCTGCTTGCTTCATTTGTGCAGAGCCCCATAACAGCATCATAAACAGATTGAGAAGGTATTCATTAAATTTGGACTTTGGTGTATGAAGGATAATTAATGGTTTAGTTTCTAAAGCTTGGGCCAAAGCATATTTAAATTAGGTTTTGAGCCAAGATTGTCCAGTATTTCTGTTTTGTTAAGCATCATATCAAAGAAATTTGATCCTGGATTAAATTTTTTTAAAAAGTAGCACTATCAATTTTTTTTCCAGATACTAGGTACACAAAATTAAGTAAAAAAGTTTTGATCAGGATTCTCAGAACATTGAATAAATAAGTTAC